TTGAATAAAAAATAGAGGATGGTGGATTCATTGTAAACTTTTTGATCACAGTGATGCCTTGGTTTTAAAAGGGTTGTAAAAACGCTAATTTCTAATAATTTTTTTTAATTTCTTTTCTATTACTAAGTTAAATTCATTTTTTCATTTACATATGTTCTGACTAAATAAATTTCTAAAGAGAAAAATAAACTCCAAAAAGAAAAAACATAGGCATTTCGCTGATTTTTTCATGTAAAGTGCAAAACCGGCGATTTTTTGAAATGTTTGTATGGTGAACCCCCAGGGGGGTTCCAGGGGGTGTGCCACTGGCATCGGTGGGTCGGGCCTCCAAAGTTAGTGGGGGTCGGTCATACATTTGGACTCGATTGGAGCACTCTAAATGGGTCAAAGTGGGATTTTTCAAAATTTGCCCCTACCCAGAAGTTCGACCCAAATTGGGGGACATCAGAATTCGTTTTAGAGGTATGGTTCCTTCGGCAAAGTTTCTTATTTTGATCCCTAGAATATGATTTTCACAGAGCAATGGACGATTTTTTTGCCTCCCCACAAATCGACCCGGCCTAATGCCCACTCAATACCGATAGTATCGTTCGAACCCTAGTCATCGGGTTCTGAGCAAAGTTTGAAATTTCAAGTATCTAGCTCATCAGGATGTTGGGTAAATATTGATTGCAAGATCTGACTACACACAGGTGAAATTTAATAAAAGCTTATAAATAACTAAAAAAAAGAAAATTCATCGAAATTTAATAATGCATGTAGACTTCGCAAACATACCCTTTTCCAGGCTGTCGATTTGTTCGTTTGTGAATGAAGTGCGATTTCGTTGAAGTTTTCGTTTAAGGCGTAATCTCATCTGGGAGTCTTCATCCCCTGAGGAGTTGTGATCTGAGTTGCCGTCCGAGGTACTTTCATGAGAGTTTGGATGTGACGCCTCGCCAGAAAATAGATCTAGAATGAGAATTGTCAAATATTTAGATCTTGTCGATATTGTAATTGAAGAAATATGTATATATGCACACATTCAAATACACCTGGTTTTGTCAAAAAATACTGCAAACTAGCGACCTAATCATCACACTTGTAACACCATCATGTCTAGCTACAGTCAAGCAGGAGTTTCATAGCCATAATTATATTATAATCGAGTACTCTGTGATGAAAAACTATGTATATATGTATGTACATTAGATGCCTTATTTTCTCCATACATTTTGCTAAAGTACTACCCTTCCCACCTTTAGTTCACTTTACAAGACCCATTTCAGACACGTCAAGTCTTGCTTTCAAGTCTGCTCGGTTAGTAGGAGAAGGAGGTGAGAAGAGAGGCGAAGAGTACATTCGTCTCACCTCCTTCGCTTACGATCGAGCAGACTTGAAATCAAGACTTGACGTGTCTGAAAGGGGTGTAATAGTATTTCAGATCTTCCCTAGGGATGAAACGTTACCATGCAGGTATCGATACTTTTACTTGGAAGTAGTATCGATACCAGAAAAATATCGGATCTAAAGTATCCATACCTACTCATATCGATACTTTCGTTATGAACTAAATATGTTAAATTTAGTTCTTTATGTCATAAGTTAACTACATATATCGCTAGCTTAGAGTCAAAAGCTAAGTCCCAATTTCAAAATTGTACAGGAGAGGAAAAATACCTCTTATAGCCATATTCTTCAAGTATTTCGCAAAATTCTGAATACAACATTTTGTCTGTCTAAAGTAAAGCAAAACTCCTTACGAATCAGAGGGATTTGATCTTTATTAAAATATTTCGTACTATTTTGACCTTATTGAATTTTCGGAGCTTTTCTTGGACTTAACAAATTTTGCTTTCCTTAAATATAAACGAGAAAGCATAAAGCGAGGACCTTTACCCTTTTCGAAACGATGCATTTTTAATTTCTCTAGCCTCCTGTATCAAAATATGAATTTTTATAAAAAGTGGACTTAGCAACTTTTCACTCTAAGCTAGCGATATGTTTAATGATGAATGGTATTTAACCGTATATGTAATACTCTATATTGATAGTAAGGTATCTTCACAATGTGTTTTTATTCCGCAATCAAACGGAGACAGCCTATCAAATAAATGTTTGCTTGTGCTAGTATAAATGTATATTTGTGAACTACTACAAACAAACAACTATCAAGTCACTCCAGGAGCGGTTTAAATAAACAACATTAATAAATTAAAAAAAAAAAATAACCAACAATTTTTCCCTGAAAGTAATTGGTGCAAGCTTTGTGGTAACCGGCGGATTTGAATAAGCAGCAAGAGATGTATAAGTTACACTTGAAGCGATCACCATAACCGCTCTTAAAATATATACTGTGAGGATACGTGCCTTCCTTTCCAGCATCTTAGCCGGAATGTAGCGTCTACCCGTTTTCCATAATACGACCCATTTTTAACTAAATAGTACAACATACCGACGCACGCAATACGAATTAATTTTCCTTACTTTTTTGCTTCTACAAACAGCACAGTTCCGCACGATTTTTGGGTTTTTATTGCTTTTAAAATTAAAATTAAATTTTTTTAAATATTGACGGTTACTGCACCGCTCCTGATTTCTTATTGTTTTCAAAGGTCATTCTGGGTACATTGGCTGGTTGGTTTTCTCATTCTATCATTGTATATCTGCATATGGGGGTGTACTTTCAACGTACTGCCAATATATTAGCTGACCAACCGTCCTCCTCTGAAGAGGATTGTCCTCCTCAACCGTGATTTGTCCTCCTCAAAAATATTTTCCTTCTCTGTCCTCCTTTTAAGCAAAAATGTCCTCCTTGTCCTCTTTTTCAAGTTTTATAGCAGTGATGACATTTTCAAAAATTTCGTTCTGAATATTATTATGGCCTAATCGCACACAATCATTGTATTTAAAACAAGTTTATATTTTCCAACTTTCAGTTAAATGATGTAAACCTTTGATTCAACTAACCACCTGTGAGAGTTGAACAGTGTAAACGCCCTTTAGCCTTATTTAATACGGCTTTCTCACGACACCTCAATTACGTAGTTCGATCTCTCATTCGTAATTCGCCCGAATTACGTAAGTCGCCACAATAAATTTTGGGAGTGAATTACCTGATTTGTTGGTAATTCAGATCCAATAATCCTGAGAATTATCTCTAATTTTTATCGGAAATTTATCGACACCAGTTAACAAATCAAAACTGGCACTTTTTCTGAGAACGAAAATAGTTTAATACCGAAACTTGTAAATTTTTAGCAACTTGTAGCGAAGGAAACAAAACAAAACACAAAGATAGAGAACTGTCAAGTCGAATTAGAATGTGAGTGTGGGAAAGGGATAATAATATGTCCCCACGCGCACTGCCAATTACGTAGTTCGCTTCTGAATTATTTTGGTGAATTACCCCGTTTACACGACTCATTCCTAATTCGATTTGACAATTCATTGTGTTTTTCCTTCATTTCTTCTTTTATTTGTTTTGATTTTTCCTATTCTCTCTTGCTTTGACAGCTGAGTTCGATAAATTTCCGATTAAAATTAGAGACGGCAGCGATTTGTTCGTAATTCGCATGGTAATTGGATCTGAATCACCTACAAATGAGGTAATTCGTCCTCAATATTTTGTATGGCGAATCACGTAATTCGAAGGGTAATTGGGGCGCCAATTACGAATGGTAGAGCCAATTACGAATGGGAGAGCAAACTGCGTGCCGTGCGAACTTAGTATAATTCGCGATCGTAATTGGAGGATCGAACAAACTAATTCACGGTGCCGTAGGAAAGCCGTATTACCTTTTACAACACTGAAAGACTAGCGAAATTATTGTCCAACATATGTCATTTTGTTTACGAGATATGTATAATTTTTATCAGGGGCAATATTTGCGTGTGGGGAATTTTCATCTTGATAAAAGCATTTGTTAGATGGCTTAAAGCAAGTATGTTCGTTGCATTGGGCGCAAATATGCTTAAAAAAATAGAAAATGTGTTATTTCACATCCAAGTACATAATCAAAACTCAAGACTTTTTTTGGGGGATGTTTTCCGGGAAATTTGCCACATATTCTTATTACTGTAAACAAGTTGTTCTTGTATATATATATATATTAGGGTGATCCAAAATAACTAACCTGGCGAATTTATGGCCTTATTTACTGAGAAGGAAAAATTTTTATTTCAATTTAAAAAGGTGTCAGTGGGCATTTGAAATTTTCTATGTAAAAAACATGTAAAATAATTTGTTTTCATTAAAAATTTTATAACTTTTGACCCGTTAAAAAAAAAGTAATAAAGAAGAGATAAATGGTTTTTCTATGCATAGGGCATTTTCATATAGGGCATTAAATTATCTAAAAAATTACCCTGAAATAGGTTGTCTTAGCGACGACTTAGTATTAAATATGTTAATGATATTGCTGAATAGAGCTGCAAAACTATCGATTGTACTATCGATAGTTTTATTTTTGATAGTGCCGGTACATTGAAATTTTGTGATCTTTACTTAAATAAGTAACGCTGTGAATTGAACTAAGGAAAATATTTAGAATTTCACGCTTAAAATGTAGTATTTATACTTACATATGTGCAATATTTATATTTACATATGTACATAAGTACATATGTACATATTTTACACATTTTGTTCGGGATGCCGTTTGGATCTAAATAGATCCAATTGGATACATGTTTAGACGAATTTTTGCGAGATACTTATTTTTTCCGATCAGTATAAATGTGGATACTTTTTTAAATAGGCCAAAATTGTATATTTTCTATAAAGTTTTTTTCGTTCAAAAATCGATTTCCATTAAAGATGGTAGAAAACATTATGTGAAATTGAAGCATTTTGTTTTTTGTGAATGAAGCAATGAACATATTAAGAGATGTCACCAAAATAGGTATAAGCGCAATTGTTTTAATTAGCTAGAAAGGGTGCTTTAGTGATCTCTTTCATATCACTTATTTTCATTTCTTAAAAAAACCGACTTCAATCTAATATATAAAAATCTCGTGTCACGGTGTGTGTGGTCGAACTTCTCCTAAACGACTCGACCGATCTTTATAAAATTTTTTGTGCATATATGGTAGGTATGAGAATCGGATGTAAAGTATATTTTATACCGCTAGGTGCAGGGGGCGTGGCACCTCTTATACAAACCGAATTTTTCATACTGCATTTCTCTGAAAGTGTTCACGGTAGAGTACTCAAACATGGTATGGAAATATATGAAAACAAGCGCATACTCATGGAGAAAAATTGTGGTTATTGGGAAAGGGGGTGTGGAACCACCCATACAAACCGAAGTTTCCATACTGCATATCTCTGGAAGTGTTCGTGGTAGAGTACTGAAACTTGGTATGGAGATTTCATAGTCACATGGTCATGAAGAAAAATTGGGGCTATTGGAATAAAGGAGTGCACCTCTCATACAAACAGGATTTTTATACTGCATACCGCACTGATGCTATTACGTATCTTTGTATGCATATACACGTTTTCTAGGTTATTTACCAAACCGTAATATTAGAAGATAAATGCGTCACTGAAAATTATGAACGTGGAGTGTTGGTGAAAATGTTGGACCAAAATGTTTCAATAAAAAAAAAAAAAAATTTGCCGGGACGAAGTTCGCGGGGTCTGCTAGTTCTTATATAAAAATTTAAGATTATCGTTAATTTCTTCATGATACAATGATCGGATTTAAACCAAACTAGTATGGGACAACCTATGAGGTAACACCTTCCTTTAAAAAAAAAAGATTTATTGTAATGGGCTAACGTGGTCCAAAGATATGCGGTAACATATATAAAAAAAAAAAATACGCCGAATTGATAACCTTCTCCTTTTTGTGAAGTCGGCTAAAAAGAAAAAAAGATCTCAGTGTCGTTTCAAATACATACACTGTTTAAAAAACTAAATTTGATTTATTTAAGGAAATTTGTATGAATTTTACTGAAACGACTTTAAATACACTAAACATTTTTTGTTTAAATGTACGCATATTAAGAGAGGTAACCAGTTTCCTACTTTTACATACATGCAGTTTTAGAGTGTACAGGTACGAATGTAACATATTAATTATTATTTATTATACTTACTTTGCAAATTACTTATGCGCAAAAAATTTAACTTACAAACTGAAATT